CACTGCCCCTTGAGGAAACAAATGCATCAAATGGGCATCTATACAGACGAACCCATATGCAGACTATGCAATGAGGAAGAGGAAACTGCCACCCATGTAATATTGGAGTGCGAAGCACTAGCGCGTTGGAGATACAACCTTCTGGGAGCAGTGAACTCTCAAGAGGCATTTTCAAAGAATGATTTGGTGAGGAGGCTGCTAAACCCCATCAAGGTAGCGAACCTGTTCACCTAAGTCAACAGCATGATCAGGAATACAATGGGCCCAAAGGCTGCAGTGTTTTGGGCTTCAAACCCTGACTGATCATTCTGCTATTAATCAATCAATCAATCAAAAAGAAGAAAGATTTGTTTGTTTGTTTGTTTGTTTGTTTGTTTGTTTGTTTGTTTGTTTGTTTGTTTGTTTGTTTGTTTGTTTGTTTGTTTGTTTGTTTGTTTGTTTGTTTGTTTGTTTGTTTGTTTGTTTGTTTGTTTGTTTGTTTGTTTGTTTGTTTGTTTGTTTGTTTGTTTGTTTGTTTGTTTGTTTGTTTGTTTGTTTGTTTGTTTGTTTGTTTGTTTGTTTGTTTGTTTGTTTGTTTGTTTGTTTGTTTGTTTGTTTGTTTGTTTGTTTGTTTGTTTGTTTGTTTGTTTGTTTGTTTGTTTGTTTGTTTGTTTGTTTGTTTGTTTGTTTGTTTGTTTGTTTGTTTGTTTGTTTGTTTGTTTGTTTGTTTGTTTGTTTGTTTGTTTGTTTGTTTGTTTGTTTGTTTGTTTGTTTGTTTGTTTGTTTGTTTGTTTGTTTGTTTGTTTGTTTGTTTGTTTGTTTGTTTGTTTGTTTGTTTGTTTGTTTGTTTGTTTGTTTGTTTGTTTGTTTGTTTGTTTGTTTGTTTGTTTGTTTGTTTGTTTGTTTGTTTGTTTGTTTGTTTGTTTGTTTGTTTGTTTGTTTGTTTGTTTGTTTGTTTGTTTGTTTGTTTGTTTGTTTGTTTGTTTGTTTGTTTGTTTGTTTGTTTGTTTGTTTGTTTGTTTGTTTGTTTGTTTGTTTGTTTGTTTGTTTGTTTGTTTGTTTGTTTGTTTGTTTGTTTGTTTGTTTGTTTGTTTGTTTGTTTGTTTGTTTGTTTGTTTGTTTGTTTGTTTGTTTGTTTGTTTGTTTGTTTGTTTGTTTGTTTGTTTGTTTGTTTGTTTGTTTGTTTGTTTGTTTGTTTGTTTGTTTGTTTGTTTGTTTGTTTGTTTGTTTGTTTGTTTGTTTGTTTGTTTGTTTGTTTGTTTGTTTGTTTGTTTGTTTGTTTGTTTGTTTGTTTGTTTGTTTGTTTGTTTGTTTGTTTGTTTGTTTGTTTGTTTGTTTGTTTGTTTGTTTGTTTGTTTGTTTGTTTGTTTGTTTGTTTGTTTGTTTGTTTGTTTGTTTGTTTGTTTGTTTGTTTGTTTGTTTGTTTGTTTGTTTGTTTGTTTGTTTGTTTGTTTGTTTGTTTGTTTGTTTGTTTGTTTGTTTGTTTGTTTGTTTGTTTGTTTGTTTGTTTGTTTGTTTGTTTGTTTGTTTGTTTGTTTGTTTGTTTGTTTGTTTGTTTGTTTGTTTGTTTGTTTGTTTGTTTGTTTGTTTGTTTGTTTGTTTGTTTGTTTGTTTGTTTGTTTGTTTGTTTGTTTGTTTGTTTGTTTGTTTGTTTGTTTGTTTGTTTGTTTGTTTGTTTGTTTGTTTGTTTGTTTGTTTGTTTGTTTGTTTGTTTGTTTGTTTGTTTGTTTGTTTGTTTGTTTGTTTGTTTGTTTGTTTGTTTGTTTGTTTGTTTGTTTGTTTGTTTGTTTGTTTGTTTGTTTGTTTGTTTGTTTGTTTGTTTGTTTGTTTGTTTGTTTGTTTGTTTGTTTGTTTGTTTGTTTGTTTGTTTGTTTGTTTGTTTGTTTGTTTGTTTGTTTGTTTGTTTGTTTGTTTGTTTGTTTGTTTGTTTGTTTGTTTGTTTGTTTGTTTGTTTGTTTGTTTGTTTGTTTGTTTGTTTGTTTGTTTGTTTGTTTGTTTGTTTGTTTGTTTGTTTGTTTGTTTGTTTGTTTGTTTGTTTGTTTGTTTGTTTGTTTGTTTGTTTGTTTGTTTGTTTGTTTGTTTGTTTGTTTGTTTGTTTGTTTGTTTGTTTGTTTGTTTGTGTGTATTGAATAGGCTCCGAAACTACTAGATCGATTTTGGCTGGAAATTGGTGGAGAGGCAGCTTAGAACCAGGAGAAGGTTATAGGATACTTTTTATTCCGGTACCATTAGGAAATTCAAGATGGCGGATCTAATATATCGGACGAGTTTTGTAGTTATGGTCCGATTTTATTCAAATTTGGTATCTGGTGGTTTTCGGGGTCGGAGATTGTGATTCTTCCGTCAGAATTTGAAAATTCGGGCGGAATTTAGGAATTCAAGATGGCGGAACCAATATGGCGGACGAGCTTCGTAATTATAATCCGATTCTTTTCAATATTGTGAACATACAGTTTGACGCATTATGTATAGGTTCATTGCGGAAGCCAGCAGGCCCATAAGGTGTATGGTCTCTAGGTTTCAGACACTTCTAGGACATGAGCCAAAAATACTTCTTCTTTATTCGGTATTTTAATTTTTTCATTGTTGCACCATTCAATAAAACGCGTGTATACCTTCTCATACCTTTCTTAAGACTTCGTTGACAATAACGCATCTGTATCGCATCCCTATAGCTGAAAGTTTCTGATCACAATCTATAGGGGGATTTTCATAATAATCAATTTTTATTTCTTAATATTTCTTAATTTTCACAATAAATAGTGTAATTTGATGGATGATTCTGAACATACATACATAATACTGCAACAAACAAACTAAAACTCTTATATTCCACCACCTACCACTTATATTTTGCCATATTATCATATCTTTGTTTTGTCTTAAATTAAGGAGATCATTGTACCAGTATATCACCTGACGAAGCTACTGTGTTAGCGAAACATGTCGAGTGTTTGAGAATTTTGTGGAAATCTTATCGTTTGTGAAGTTTTTACACTTGGGATTTAATCTTGGTCCCTGGATCATACTGATATTCTTCACTACCTTGATGCATAAATAACTAATAACCATCGCAAAAGCTGCTTCACAAAAACTCGGATTCTTGTTCCGTGCGAAAAGCTACTTTACACCTCAACAGCTTCTCATGATCTACAAAGCGCAGATACGGCCTGTTCTAGAATACTGTTCCCACATATGGGGTTCAGCACCAAAACATACGCTGATGCTCTTAGATTTCATCCAGAGAAGAGCCATTCGCCTGGTGGGTGACGCCACACTCACTCACTCTTTGACATCATTGGAACACCGTAGAAAGGTCGGCGACCTTTCACTTTTCTATCGATACTTCCACTGGAAATGTGCTTCGGAAATCTCTGCTATCATCCCTTCACTAGTAATACCAATCAGACGAACTAGACAAGCCCAGTCAGCACATCCTTTCGTTGTCAACCTCGAAAGATGTCGAACAGCACTTTATCAAGACTCCTTCATCCATAGAACGGCTAGGCTCTGGAATTCATTGCCTGTGGAAGTATTCCCAACAACATACAGTGTGTCCCACTTACCATGCTCACCATGGGGATCTTTTAAACGGTGAGAGATACGAGGTCGGTTAAATGACACCAAATGTGGAGTTTGTCAAGGCCAACTATAATGTGAAAAAAAATTCTGATAAAATCTATTCGTTTTTGTTTTATACGCAAAAAACAGATTTTGATCATTTTCATGTCTCCTCCGTAACTTCTTTATGTATGAAAATATTCAAATAGGAATTTCACATTCTCATGGCAGTTTTTCAAAGTGATTTCGAAAAAAATATGAAATTTATACCAACTCTTCTAGAATTTGAGATATCAGCACCAACTTTAGTTTTTCAAATGTAGGTCATAGCTCACTATGACTTAGTTACAAATAACTTTTTTTTCTCTTCCAGATGATATGTCGCAGTAATAGTTTTGTGTTGATACCAACGGAGTTATCGTCATTTATACAAGAACAAAAAATTATTTGGAAGCCGCCATCTTGAATTTATGAATTTTAACCAAAAAATCATGATCTCCGACCTCAAAACTCAAAAACCCCCACTTACCAATTTTGAATGGAATCGGACCAAATCTTGTCCGCCATCTTGGAGCAGCCATTTTTTTTAATTTCAACGAAAATTCCATAATGTATTGTCACCGAAATTATGAACACCTGTCAAATTTCAAGTTAATCGGAGTAATGGAATTTTTGTTGAAATTGAAAAAAATGGCTGCTCCAAGATGGCGAACAAGATTTGGTCCGATTCCATTCAAAATTGGTAAGTGGGGGTTTTTGAGGTCGGAGATCATGATTTTTTTGTTAAAATTCATAAATTCAAGATGGCGGCTTCCAAATAATTTTTTGTTCTTGTATAAATGACGATAACTCCGTTGTTATCAACACAAAAATATTACTGCGACATATCATCTGGAAGAGAAAAAAAAGTTATTTGTTACTAGGTCATAGTGAGCTATGACCTATATTTGAAAAACTAAAGTTGGTGCTGATATCTCAAATTCTAGAAGAGTTGGTATAAATTTCATATTTTTTTCGAAATCACTTTGAAAAACTGCCATAAGAATGTGAAATTCCTATTTGAATATTTTCATAAATAAAGAAGTTACGGAGGAGACATGAAAATGATCAAAATCTGTTTTTTGCGTATAAAACAAAAACGAATAGATTTTATCAAAATGTTTTTTCTCATTATGGTTAGCCCTGATAAACTCCACATTTGGTGTCATTTAACCGATCTCGTATCTCTCACCGTTAAAAATATACCCATGGTGAGCATGGTAAGTGGGACACACTGTATAATCTCCAAAAGTTCAAAAAAAATTCCAATACCTGCCTCCTGTCCCTATTCTCCCTAGGAACGCACGATGTTCTTTGAACATTATAGGGATTCCCTTTCGTGCGCTCCAAGCGATAAAAAAAAACTATTATTTAGACCATTGCATCTCATCTGCATAGATTTGAGAGTTGTTGATATTCAGATAAAATTCAAGATAGTCGAACTATCATAGATAAAATAAATCAATCGCAAATAAAACTGTCATTTATACTTACCTATACTGTAACTCTTCTATTTTATGATCATGTTCCAGTACGCGATTGACGCCAAAACGTCCATTTATCTTTCCGAACAGGATTCCAGTACAGTTTCGGGCTGTAGTCCACTGGAACCGTTACCTTTATGTGCAAAAAGAAAGAAAAATATTGTGACATTTTTTACAGTTAGACTGGGCCCGGTCTTATGTAAGCAAGTCATGATGAGTATGTGGTTCCCGGGTCCAGGTATGTATACATACACAAAAGCCATCAGACAGGATCTTGATGTGCCATCATTGCATTTTCGGTTGTTTTTTGGTGTAATGACGCCTGTGTAGTTGACTGACACACAACTGCATTGCTTGTACAGGGTGTCCCAAATTCGAGCCTCATCATTGGTAGGGCCCCTTGATGGAAATTGACGTTAAAGTCATCTAACAGGGTACGGACAGATCATAGCTGCATTCTTTTTTAATGATCTAGAGACTTTAGTTTTGTCTACTGGCATCCCTGACATTGCTGTCACGTCACATCCATGGGCGCTACAGAAAATCATTCTAAATTTTAATGATAGGTATGTACAGGGTATTTACTCTTTGAGGAAGATCATATTGCGAACGAGTTTTGTAATTATGATCCGATTCTATTCAAGGTTAGAAGATATCTGGAGTTTTCCGGGGTTGGAGATAATGATTGTTTCGTCAAACTTGGAAAATTCAAGAAGACGGATCCAATATATAGCGAAAGAAATTTCTAACTATGATCTGATTATATTTAAGATTAATATCTGAGGGTTTTCGGGGTCGAACTTCATGATTTTTTGTCAAGATTGGGAAATTCTAGATAGCGGATCCAATGAAAATCAAAATTGATATCTGGGGATTTCCGCGGGTCGGGGATTATAATTATTCCGTCAGAATTGGGATATTCAAGATGGCGAATCCAATATGGTGGACGAGTTTTGTAATGAAGGAACGATTCTATTTAAAATTGGTATCTGGGGGTATTCGGGGTAGGAGATAATGATTGTATAGTAAAAATTGGAAAATTCAAGATGACGGATCCAATATGGCGAAAGAGATTAGTTTATATAATTATTACTCTACCACACATAGAAAATATGTAGGATGCAAGAGTGAAAATAGCGTGCCTATAAGTTATACTGCATGCGCTTACCTACTTCTTTGTTGCTTTCATCAATAAATTATTCGAAAATGACTTTTTATTCAAGGGAGACGGAAAAATGAGGTAAAGTATATTCTATTCTTTATTTTCCTTCATATTTTACGTATTTCTTTTCATCAGCCTACTATTCGTCCTAGACGAAGTTTTATACATATAGTGTGATATTAGTAACTCCATAAATTCTTCTCCGAGTTGGATTTCCGAAAATATATTTAGTACACATGACATGAGTACCTACAGTAGTTTAGATACCCACATCGAGGTTTCCACCATTTCTCAATCATGAGGCTCTGCTCATTCAGCTCATAGATAAACTACTGCTCAGCTTGAAATCAGAATTCATTCAGTCAACCCTGGTATACAGTCTAAGAACAGTCTCTTTTGGTGAAATACATCATAAGGTTTCAGTACAATTTATATGTTGCCTACCTCGCAAAGATTATGCTGGAGTAGTAAACTCTAAAACAAGAGGATTGTTCATCTATATCTTGGTATAGTTGAATCAGGAATTTCATATGGAAATTACGTATGATACGCCAGTGACCTCAATATAACCTTAAAAACAACGAATGTCAAAAATCTAGTGTTTATCCCCAGAATTGAATAAGGATGGAACTATATAACTGTTTCACAAACGCTTTAGAGTGAGAGGAGACGAGGATCTGTCCGTACCCTGTTAAGATGACTTTAACGTCAATTTCCATCAAGGGACCCTAATCATTGGGATTTCGGAATGAGAATGGGTGCAATGGTCCGTTAGTTTCTGAGAATGAACACTCTGTATCAGAAAGGGAATCAAGGGGTTGTCTAGGGAGAAGAGAAAAAAAGGATTTTGGCAAAAGAGAAAATCCTATTTCAAGAATTCTGATTTAAAATTCATCAAAAATAAACATTCTCGCTACTTATCAACACAAGAGCTTCCACTGTATCACATTGAGTTGTTTAATATACAGGGTGGGGCATCAGTGCGTCGGAGCTCGATTGTTCAAGTTCTATGATAGTTAAAAACTCGATTCAGAAACGAATGTGGATGAGACAACAAGTTCCATAACTAGAAATCATTGCCGCATATACAGGGGCACCGGAAAAAATCTAGAGGGTCAGGATCACTTTTTTTTTAATGGAATGCCCTGTATATTAGCACATTTTTTGAAGCATCCCTGTGACCTTCAACAACTCCTATAATATTGTTGACTATATCTCGATCGTTCCAAAGTCAATGATTTTTTTGTCGAAATTATGTCATCTGCAGTTGCATATACAGTGTGGCCCACTTACCATGCTCATCATGGGTATCTTTTTAACGGTGAGAGATACGAGGTCGGTTAAATGACACCAAATGTGCAGTTTGTCAAAGCCGACTATAATGTGAAAAAATATTTTGATAAAATCTATTCGTTTTTGTTTTATACGCAAAATACAGATTTTGATCATTTTCATGTCTCCTCCATAACTTCTTTATTTATGAAAATATTCAAATAGGAATTTCACATTCTCATGGCAGTTTTTCAAAGTGATTTCGAAAAAAATATGAAATTTATACCAACTCTTCTAGAATTTGAGATATCAGCACCAACTTTAGTTTTTCGAATGTAGGTCATAGCTCACTATGACTTAGCTACAAATAACTTTTTTTTTCTCTTACAGATGATATGTCGCAGTAATAGTTTTGTGTTGATAACAACGGAGTTATCGTCATTTATAAAAAAAACAAAAAATTATTTGGAAGCCGCCATCTTGAATTTATAAATTTTAACAAAAAAATCATGATCTCCGACCTCAAAAACCCCCACTTACCAATTTTGAATGGAATCGGACCAAATCTTGTCCGCCATCTTGGAGCAGCCATTTTTTTTAATTTCAACAAAAATTCCATGATGTATTATCACCGAAATTATGAACACCTGCCAAATTTCAAGTTAATCGGAGTTATGGAATTTATTTTGAAATTTAAAAAAATGGCTGCTCCAAGATGGCGGACAAGATTTGGTCCGATTCCATTCAAAATTGGTAAGTGGGGGTTTTTGAGGTCGGAGATCATGATTTTTTTGTTTAAATTCATAAATTCAAGATGGCGGCTTCCAAATAATTTTTGTTTCTGTATAAATGACGATAACTCCGTTGTTATCAACACAAAACTATTACTGCCACATATCATCTGTGGGAGAAAGAAAAGTTATTTGTAACTATAAGTCATAGTGAGCTATGACCTACATTTGAAAAACAAAAGTTGGTGCTGATATCTCAAATTCTAGAATAGAAGAGTTGGTATAAATTTCATATTTTTTTCGAAATCACTCAACAAAAACGAACAGATTTTATCAAAATATTTTTTCACATTATAGTTGGCCTTGACAAACTCCACATTTGGTGTCATTTAACCGACCTCCTATCTCTCACCATTAAAAAGATACCCATGGTGAGCATGGTAAATGGGACACACTGTATACCAAAAAAATCACTGTATTCACAATTATGGAATTCAAGAGAGGATAATCATAATCTCATTTGATGAAAAAGTGCGTGATATTTCTGTAGGATTTTCATGCCCTCAAATTATAAAGGGTGACTAAGAATGATTTTTCAATTCAGAACTTTTGGAAGTGATTTTTCTAGAGTTTCTAAGTAACTTTCCAGCACTAGTGCGGTATGGTAACTTTTTCACACGATATTTTCATGCACTGAAAAATAATGATATAGATATTTTCTTATTGATATGATAGGGAACTTATTCGAAGAACATTTATATAACAATAGCTAAAATATCAACGATGGTAAATATTGAAATTGAAAGTACAATTTGTGTTTGTTGCATGCTGTAATATAGCAGATGCCGTAACATCTTGAAGAACGTCGATTCATATTTGACTTTGATTGGTTAGTGTTTGGCCCAATACAGAAATGCCATGATCCGTTTGTTGCTGAGAATTTCTAGTGTAGTGAATGGAGGAAGATAGATTGGTCTGAAATGCTTATTTGTTGACTGTCACTAATGTCACTTTAAAGCGACTGTTGCTATGGACTCCCACAATGTGGTTTTGAAATTCTTCATTCGATTTTTTTGCAAAATTTCCACCATGTTATTAGTTCATTACGCTCTGCTGCCGCATATACGGGAGACTGTAAGATGTAACGAGAATCGTATCGGGATTCTTCAATGACAATGTACAATTATTAATGATTCCAAATACCCGCAATTACATCTCCTATAATTTATGAGATAATCTCTGTTTGAGCTTTAAATCCTCAAACGAGTTTTCGACTGGATTATTTGTTTCACCTATACCAACTTCAGTAGTATGCGTATAACGAGATCAGAGATATAATGATATACGCGAGACTGGTTTGCATAAACGAAGGAAAATTATTAAAACCATGTGGCAGATATACATATTTCATTAAATGATTTTGAGCCTATTAATTTCATATCTACAATTATTCATCATTAAGAAATAACAGAGGCGTATCATATGACGAAATGGAACAAATACTCAGGTCACAGCTATACAGGATGAAACATAACCCAGCGAGCACAAAAACATCTCAGAGATGTTGAAAGTACGAGATTTCGAGACATTGAACCTCCACTGCGATGTTCTGTTCACACATGAATACAACTATTATAGAACAGCCAATGTCCGCCGCAGGCGGCAATTATCGAGATGTCCTTGATATGTCACAAAACTACCTTCTCCCTAGTTCTTTTTGAAGCCTTTTCATGGACACAACAAAACAATTTCAACGCGTCTTGCGCACATTAAATCGCTGTAAAAAAAACATTTTCGAGGTACTTTTCTGAAGCCTTTTGTCAAAATGAACTTTTGCATTAGGATTCCATTTCCCTTGAATGAAAAAATGCATTAAAAATAGATTGAACATAAAAATATTTTTTTGATATGAAATTACCTTCTTAATCGGTTTTTGAGTAGTGCTTACTACACAGAGACATAAATTGGGAAATAGGTTTCCCAAATTTTGAAATGTTCTCCACAATGCATAATTTTGCAACTGCGGAGAAGCTGATGTGTATTGATGAATTCGTACTTTTATATATTGATTAC